CACACACACACACTAACAAACACACATTAACAGACACACACTCACTGACACACACACTCACACGCAAACACACACTCACTGACACACAGTCAGACACACATACACACTAATAGACACACACACTCACAGGCAAACACACACTCACTGACACACAGTCAGACACACAGTCAGACACACACATACACACTAACAGACACAGTCAGACACACACTAACAGACACAGTCAGACACACACTAACAGACACACACACACTAACAAAACACACACACATTAACAGACACACACTCACTCACTCACATTAACACTTTTTTATTTTATTTACCCCCCACCTCCTTACCTTTGGGAGTGCTGGGGGGGGTTCATTACCTCCCTGGTGGTCCAGTGGTTGCCGGCTGGGCTGGGCAGGCGAGGGAGCTCTTCCCCTGAGTGGTCTGCTCAGCTCCCTAGCGCGCCGCAAAGTGAGTCTGGGAGCCGGAAGATGACGTCATCTTCCGGCTCCCAGCCTCACTTTGCGGCACGCGAGGGAGCTGAGCGGACCGCTCAGGGGAAGATCTCCCTCGTCAGCCGCCTACCCAGCACCGCCCGCCAGCCCAGACGGTCAGTTAGTCGCAAGGCTAACAAGGCATTTGCCTGGGCATTTGGGGGGCGGCGTTTTTTGCCTCGCGGCTAAAACGCCCCTGCTGGGAGCGCAGCTGACGGGAGTGCTTGATGAAATGCCTGAAATTTAGAACGAGACAAACTGTCATCAGCTGTGTTACATATACCTGGAACATGGAAACAATACAGGAAGAAATTATGACAGGCCGCCAACCAAGTGAGTTTCCTCAGAAATCTCATGATCGTAAGGGATTTGGAACGACCTTTGTTGATGATGTGACAGGTTGACTGGTTATCGGAGTAGCAACGTACTGGCATGTTTGCCCATAAATGACCCCATGCTACGGCAGCCGCCACGATGGGATAGATCTCAAAGAGAGCTGAGGTGGTGGAAAAACCTTCCAAATCCTGAACTGCTGTAGGCCAGCTGCCCCAAAGCCATTCGTTCCCAAAAATTGCTGCAAAACCTGTGGTAGATGCCGCATCTGACCAAATGGTAGGTGATGAGTCAGTCAATTGAGGGAGGAACATACTTTTACCATTCCAAGTGGTTAAAAATTCCTTCCACATGCGTAAGTCTGCCGTAGCTTGAGTATCTAAGGACAACCTGTGTGTGTCGTGTAGGAAAAGTGGAAAAAGATACAAAAGTCGTGATATGAAGGAGCGGCCTTGAGGTATGATACGCATGGCAAAATTTAGTGAACCCAGCAGGGACTGTAGTTCTTTTCGGTTGCAAGTACCGAGCTGAAGGTAGTGGTTGATGTAGGTAAGAATGTTCTCTATCTTGTCGTGTGGCAGGCTTGCTTGCATTGTGGTTGAGTCTAATTGAATACCCAGGAGTGTGATAATCGTGTCTGGCCCCTCCGTTTTAGGGGAGATTGGGACACCTAGCTGCTCAAATAGCTTGGTGGTAGCTTTGAGGCTACTGGGAGGGGAAGTATTCTTCTCGACCAGCAATAAATCATCCTGGTAATGTAATACAGTAGGGCATCTGGCTATGTTCAATAGTAACCAGCACAATGCTTCAGCAAATGTGTCGAAAATAGCTGGACTTCTTTTGGAACCAAAAGTTAAACGGGAGAAAAAATAGTTCCCGGACCACTTGATGCCATGCAGGTGCCACAGTGTGGGGTGGATTGGCAGCAATTTAAAGGCATTAGTAATATCGGTCTTACTAAGCCATGCTCCGACCCCTACTTGTATGATAGCTGTAATGGCGTGATCTATGGTGGTGAATTGCAGGGAGAATTCTTCAGAGGGTATGAGGGAATTAAGACTGGGATTAGCCGATGAGTGTGGTGCAGGTAGGTCAATGATGAGTCTCTGTTTAAGGGAAGATTTCCCTGTGACAATACCAATGGGGTTAGTGCGCCATTCTTTGAACAGAGGAGCCTTGAAAGGCCTCAATAAGAAACCCTCAGCAACTTCTTGGGCTATGAGAGTGTCAACAGCTGTGTGGTTGTGTTATGCGAATTGTAGATTCGGGCATTCCAGAATCCTGGACGGTATGTGTAGAATACCCATGTGGAAGCCTTCTGTTAAACCAGAGATAAGAACGTCTACCAAGTGTTTAGACGGGTGATGTGATAGAAATGCTGTAAATACCGAAATATTAATGGACGTTAGGTAAGGCTTAGAGTACATTTTATTTGGACACATGGTTTTTGCATGTGCCCTAAAACATTTTAAACAGATATGCAATAATCTGCAACCGCTATAATTACAAGACCCAACATTGAAATTATTACATATCTGGGACTTACCCAGAAACTTGATCGGGCGTCCCAGTTTGTCTCTGGTCAATTTCTCTGGAACACCAGAGGAACTAGCTCCTTGTGTGGAGGCATGTTCGTCTGCCGTGTTGGGATAGAAATTTGTGATTGTCCAGGATCTGATGCTGGACTAGTTACCTCTCCTCCTTGTGTAGGAGTGATAGCTCTAGCCGGAGTGCTAGACAGGGAGAAATCCTCTACCCCTTCCTGAGACATACTAAAAACAAAACAATTAATTAGTGGATGAAAACCACCAAGATCGTACTGGCAGGCTAGCTAAGCCGGATGGCGAAACATTACACTTGTTTGGTGACAGGTGAGGCCCTACTAGTTGCCAAGTGGCTTGAGAGGCTCTATCTATGCGTTGGCGCGAGGGGATTTGAGGCCACTCGTCGTAGTGGCAGAATTGTAGGCCTCTCGGTGACTGTAACACACAAAAACAGGGAAAGGGAGTGACAGGTGAGGCCCTCTCTATGCGACATGCGAGGCGAATAGCTCACGTGTGGCCCGATGGGTGTTTGCCTCCGAAACGTTGAGGCGGGGTGTTGGCCTCGCGGGACCACTAACTGATGGCAAATGCCAAGAAGGGGTAAACACCTATTGGGGAGCCTTTGATCATATTGCCAGTAGGGGGGAGAAATTAAATGTATGGCAGAATACCATATGAGCAGGCGTACGTACCTGGTAGTATGAATATCTCACAGCGAATTCATGTGGGGAAATATATATAAACCTGGACAGCCTGAAACGGGTAAAAAAAAAAAAGGGGTAATATAGTGAGTGTAACCTAGGGGGGAGAAATTAAATGTATGGCAGAATACCATATGAGCAGGCGTACGTACCTGGTAGTATGAATATCTCACAGCGAATTTGTGTGGGGAAATATATATAAACCTGGACAGCCTGAAATGGGTAAAAAAAAAAAAAAGGGTGTAATATAGTGAGTGTGGACTGTTTGAGAATGATGTAGACTGTGTAGCCCGTACCAGCGGTGATTTTTTTTTTGTTTTTGTTTTTAAGGGCTTGATTGGAGTTTTAAATGAAATGTAGTGATATACCATGACAATATAAATGTGTTACAAAGGCCAAGTGGTGCCGTGTCTTTAATGCCAAAATTCTGGCTAGAAACAGGGGGGGATGTATGATGCGTGTCAAGTGAAAAAGAGGATTGGGTGGAGGAGGCCGTGGCCTATATGTAAAAGTGTTATGCTGATATATAATGGACAACAATAAAGGGGCAGGGATGAAAACAATTCTTTGAAGTGATGGAAAGTTGTATATAATATTATTGTAATGTAAAAGACGTGTGATTGGTTGGATCAGTACGTGTGATTCAACCCGAGAATTCATGACTTGGAAAAGGAAACTGTATCCTTATGTATATGTTGTGTGGTAGTTTAAAACACAGAAATGAGGCCTGTAATTGTAGGCTGAACCAACTTGACTGAAATGGAAAAGTATGGAAAACCCCTGAAAGCATGGGAGTCAAAATGATCCATACAGATATGTGAGCTGGTTTGTTATGGAAACCAATACAATACTGATACCTCTAAACAGTAATAAAATTAATCTATAACTATTTAAGCAAAGCAAATCGTTAACCGAATGGTATATACATGAAATGATAAATGTGATCCACAAAAGGATTTATGCGAAATACATTTAGCAAGAAAAACCGAAACCCTATGGCAAGGGAAACAGAAACTGAAAAGAACAGTTTATACGCATGAAATTTTATGCGAACGTGCAAGCGTGTTTAGGCATATCATGAATAAGTGCCGAACAGGGAAACAACCGAAAGGATAACTTATTTCATTGCAACACGGAACAGTTTTATGTGAAATGACAACCTTTAACTAATATACTGATTAGCCGAATACTGCACGAAATGAAACCACGAACGGCTTATTCAATTGCCACATAACAGGGAAAAAAACGTAAAGCGAGGACCCGTGCTGTACCGGACGCCGTGGGAACCGATCCTGGCGTGACAGGTAGGTCTAACTTACGGTTTAGGAGTTCCTGGGACGCGATCTACGACGATAACTGGGGTCAGAAGAGGCTGGACGGACAGAAAGGCCTGGAACAGGATTCCTGGACACAGTTTGCCGTGGAAAAACTTGTGGACAGTGAAAATCAAGATGGTGTCTGAGAGAACCCGGAAGAGGATCCTCATTCAACGCTGACCTCGAACTGTAAGGAGCAAGGTAAGGGGTGTGCCTTAAGTAGGCTAGGAGTGTATACCAAGCACCTCCCACAAATACAGGCCAAATTGCCTTACTACATCTTTTTTTTTAATTCAACATTTTTGCTCCTGCACATACAGGCACAAAGACAAACTCAATATCTCACTACAGAAAGCTCATTGACATATACAAGCTCACTACAAACATCTAACCAGGGCCGGACTGGCCCACCGGGATACCGGGAAATTTCCCGGTGGGCCGCGGCACCTGGGGCCGGTCTGACAGCTCCTGTGATCCCGGCGGCCGTGTGTGAGCTGTGCGGCCGCACATAGCCCCTTGGGAGCAGGGGGAGCCAGGCGGCCGGCTCACACATGGCCGCCCGGGATCATTTAAAAAAAAATAAAAAAAAAAAATTGCGGCGGGGGCGGAGCTTACTGTGCGGCGGGGGCGGGGCTTAGCGTGCGGCTGAGGCGGAGCTTACTGTGCGGCGGGGCCGGCTAATTGCAGCATGGGAAGCAGGAAGGAGTCCCTGCTTCCCCAACAACCAGCCTCCAGGAGCTCCAAGCAGGAGGTAAGAAGGAGGTCAGTGTGTGACTGTCTGTGAGTGTGTGACTGTCTGTGAGTGTGTGACTGTCTGTGTGACTGTGTGTGTGTGTGTGTGTGACTGTCTGTTTGTGTGTGTGACTGTGTGTGTGTGACTGTCTATGTGTGTGTGACTGTGACTGCCTGTGTGTGTGTGTGACTGTCTGTGTGTGTGTGTGACTGTGTGTGTGACTGTCTGTGTGTATGACTGTGACTACCTGTGTGTGTGTGTGACTGTGTGTGTGTGTGACTGTGTGTGACTGTCTGTGTGTGTGACTGTCTGTGTGTGTGTGACTGTGTGTGTGTGACTGTGACTGCCACCTGTGTGTGTGTGACTGTGAGGCTGCCTGTGGTAGTAGTATTGGCCGAGGCCTGTGACTACATCTGTGTGTGTGTGACTGTGTGTGTGTGTGACTGTGACTGCCTGTGTGTGTGTGTGAGGCTGTGTGCTTGGCTGTGACTGTGTGTGAGGCTGTGACTGTGTGTGACTGTGACTGTGTGTGACTGTGTGTGACTGTGTGTGTGTGTGACTGTGACTGTGTGTGTGACTGTGACTGTGTGTGTGACTGTGACTGTGTGTGTGTGTGTGTGACTGTCTGTGAGTGTGTGACTGTGTGTGTGACTGTTAGTGTGTGTTTGTGTGTGACTGTCTGTGACTGTCTGTGTGTGCGTGTGACTGCCTTTGTGTATGACTGCCTGTGTGTGTGTGACTGTCTGTGTGTGTGTGTGTCTGTCTGCCTGTGTATGTTACTGTCTGTGTGTGACTGTGTGTGTGTGTGTAACGGTCTGCCTGTGTGTGTGGCTGTCTGCCTGTCTGTATGTGTGGATGTTTGCCTCGGTGTCAGTGACTGTCTGCCTCTGTGTGTGTGTGCGCACCTGCTAGTGAGGGAGCCTGTGTGTGTGTGTGTCAGTGAGCTTGTCTGTAGGGATCATATGTGTGTGTGTTAGTGAGCTCTTGTCTGTAAGGAGCATGGGTGTGATCGTGGGCTTGTCTGTAGTGAGCGTGTGTGTCAGTGAGTTTGTCTGTAGTGAGCGTGTGTGTCAGTGAACGTGTGTGTCAGTGAGCTTGTCTGTAGTGACCATATGTGTCAGTGAGCTTGTCTGTAGTGAGTGTGTGTGTCAGTGAGCTTGTCTGTAGTGACCATATGTGTCAGTGAGCTTGTCTGTAGTGAGCGTGTGTGTCAGTGAGCTTGTTTGTAGTGAGCATATGTGTGTCAGTGAGCTTGTCTGTAGTGAATCTGTGTTAGTGAGCTCTTCTGTAGGGAGCATGTGTGTGTCAATGGGCGTGTCTGTAGGGAGAGTGTGTGCGCATCAGCGAGCTTGTCTGTAGTGAGCGTGTGTGTGTGACAGTGAGCTTGTCTGTAGTAAGCTTGTGTGTGTATCAGAGTTTGTCTGTACTAAATTTGTGTGTCTGCCAGTAACCTTATCTGTGTGTGTCATTGAGATTGTCTGTCAATGAGCCTATTTGTGTGCATCAGTAAGATTGTCTGTGTCTGTGTGTGAGTATGCTTTACTGTATAATTTAATTACCCTGAAAGGACTAATATTTTGAATTAGAAGAAGAAATGTATCAATAATATATATATATATATATATATATATATATACACACATACATTAAAGGACCACTTTAGGCACCCAGACCACTTCAGCTTAATGAAGTGGTCTGGGTGCCTGGTCCAGTTAGGGTTAACCCATTTTTTCATAAACATAGCAGTTTCAGAGTGCTATGTTTATGAATGGGTTAAGCCTTCCCCTATTTCCTCTAGTGGCTGTCTCATTGACAGCCACTAGAGGCGCTACAGTGAGAGCATGCCAGCGTCCATAGGAAAGCATTTATAATGCTTTCCTATGTGACCGGCTGAATGCACGCGCAGCTCTTGCCGCGAGTGCGCATTCAGCCGACGGGGAGGAGAGAAGGAGGATCGGAGGAGGAGAGCTCACCGCCCAGCGCTGGAAAAAGGTAATTTTTTACCCCTTTCCCCCTTCCAGAGCCGGGCGGGAGGGGGACCCTGAGGGTGGGGGCACCCTCAGGGCACTATAGTGGTCCTTTAATATATAACACCCTACATAGCACAATGACTTATGGGGCTGGCATAGATTTTTTTCCAGGGCTGCTTCGTATCCCCAGTCCGGCCCTGCATCTAACTACACTCAAACTCACATAGTTTACGATAGACAGCTCACTGACATATACACACAAATTCACTGACAAAAACTCACTACAAACAAGCTCACACAGCTCACTACAGACAGCTCACTGACATGCACGCAATGTCACTACACACAAGCTCACTACACACACAAGCTTACTGACATACACACACACAAGCTCACTAAACACCAGCTTACTGACACACACAAGCTCACTAAACACAAGCTCATTGACACACAAACAAGCTCACTACATGCACACAGAAAGTCATTAGCACACAGGATCACGGAACACAAGCTCACTACATGCACACAGAAGGTTACTAGCACACAGGATCACTAAATACAGCTCGCTACATGCACACAGAAGGTCGCTAGCACACAGGATCACTAAACACAAGCTCACTACATGCACACAGATGGTCACTAGCACACAGGATCACTAAGCACAAGCACACTACATGCACACAGAAGGTCACTAGCACACAGGATCACTAAACACAGCTTGCTACATGCACACAGAAGGTCACTAGCACACAGGATCACTAAACACAAACTCACTACATGCACACAGAAGGTTACTAGCACACATGATCACTAAGCACAAGCTCACTACATGTAAACAGAAGGTTACTAGCACACATGATCACTAAGCACAAGCTCACTACATGCACACAGAAGAAGGTTACTAGCATAGGCTGCTGACTGGAGTTTGTGTTGCTCTTGGGAGGACCTCACAGGGGCCGGTAGGGGTTCAACTTTAACACCACAGAGGGGAGGGGCTGAGGGAGGAGGAAATTCCCCCTCCTCTAATCTAACAGAGAGTGCTTCCTCCGGGGCACTGAATTAGAGACCAAGCAGGTAGAGCTTCCTGACAGTCTCAGAGACTGTTAAATTGACTTACTTAACCTTGGGCAGATTGAGGAGATCAACTGATCTCCCCAGCCAGGCCACAGCAGCTCCGGGCCCGAGTGGTCAGTCCACCCCTGTATATAATCAGGGCCATCTTTAATATTGATTGGACCCTGGGCAAAGTATTTGCTTGGGCCCCTGGACCCTGTACACCCTGCCCAGGCATGCAATCCCCAGGAGTGCAACCTAAAGTAAAGAGGTGCAAGAATATTTTTTGCAAGGATGTTTCAAAGGTAGATCCCCATCTGTCGTGCAACTCCAGCAATGCCTTGACAGCTGGGGCTCTACCATTTACCCATGTTTGCAGGTTTGTATTTAACACTAAGCAGTTTCTGTGTGTTTCAATGTAAACAGGTTTTTGTATGTGGTGTTGGCGTTTGAATGTAAGCATGTATTTGTGTGTAGTGGTGGTTTTTGAATGTAGGGGTGTATATACATATAATGTTGGTGTTTAACACAGGTGTGTATTTGTATGTAGTGCTGAAGCTTGAATGCAGGGGTGTATTTGTGTGTAGTGTTAGCGTGTGAATGTTGAGCTGTATGCACATATACAAACACACACGTAGATATACACACACAAACACAAAAATACACAACCTGACATAGATACACAACCTGACACACATTCGGATACACCGACACATACTAATAACATACAGATACACATACTGACAACATACAGATACACCGAAACACACAAAGACAGCATACAGATACACACTGACACACCGATACACATCCTGACATACACAAATATACAAACACCTACACACATGCAGTTACACAGACAAACAGATACACACACCTGACACACTTGCAGATACACAGATACACACACAGACTTCATACAGATACACACTGACAAACAGAGATAAACACAATGACAACATATAGATACAGACAGAGATATACAGACACATAGAGAGAGACAAACTGACACACAAAGATACTCTGATAGACATACTTACACAGACACATAAACTGACAGATATACTGACACATAGACAGCCAGATATATACTGAGAGATACACAGACATACTGACACACTGACAGACATGCTGACACATTCACCAACACACTGGCACAAAGAGCCATACTGATACAGACATGCACACACTGACATTCATATGGACAAACACAGAAACATACACTAACAGATATGCTGACACACACACACACACATATACTGACAGACATATTGACACACATTCACAGACACACACACAGGCATACTGATATGCTGACACATACACTGACAGACATATTGACACACATATACTAAGATATACTGACATACACTCACAGGCATACTGACACACACACACACTGACAGGCATACTGACACATACACTGACAGACATACTGACATACATATACATACATGTACTGAGACATTCACAGATACTGGTTCATGCTGTTCTCTCTCGCCTTGACTATTGCAATCCCCTTCTCACCGGTCTTACATGTTCCCAGCTTGCACCGCTGCAATCTATAATGAATACGGCTGCGAGGCTTATTTTCCTGTCCGGTCGCACCTCCCACGCCTCCACGCTCTGTCAGTCCCTGCATTGGCTTCCAGTTAGATATAGGGCCCAATTCAAAATTCTGGCGCTTGCTTACAAATCCCTACATAATGCTGCTCCAACATACCTATCCTCCCTCATACACAAGTATGTCCCGTCGAGACCCCTGCGCTCAGCCCAAGACCTACGCCTATCCTCTGCCCGGATCCCCACCTCTGATGCTCGCCTTCAAGACTTCTCCAGGGCTGCACCTCTTCTGTGGAACTCCCTTCCCTCCTCAATCAGACTTTCACCCAGCCTCCATTCCTTCAAAAAAATCTTTGAAAACTCACTTCTTCATTAAAGCGTATCAATTAAACTGTCAGCAGGTTTCTCATCCCCCACCCCATGACTCCGTTCCTGCACCTGTCAAAAATGACCTACCAAGCACTCAATAAACCCTTCTGTAACAAACTATTTAATTCCCCTACTTTAACCCTTTGTGTCACTATACCCCACTCCCTCTAGCATGTAAGCTCATCGAGCAGGGTCCTCAACCCCCTCTGTTCCTGTACGTCAGTGGTCTGATCTCAATTATGTGTCTGTTAGTCCACCCATTGTACAGCGCTACGGAATTTGTTGGCGCTATATAAATAATAAAATAATAATAACACACACACACAAAATTTACACTATTAAACCGACCCTCCAGTTTCCTACCTTAGGCTATCTTTGCTCGTCCCAGACCCCCTCCACTCTGCCTCTTTATGGGAGGAAGTGACGTGCGGCCCTCACTTCCTCCCAGCCGGCTGCTGAAAAGCAAGAGGGCCCGGTCACGCTCTTAGTGCATGGGCCACCCAGTATGCCTCCTTAGTGTGCGGCTGTAAGGCGGGTGGAAGAAATGCTTGAGGCCAGCAGGGCCCACGGTGCAGCTGCTTCTGGGACTAGGGCCGTTGTCCCGTTTGCCCAGCGGTAAAGACGGCCCTGTATATAATCAGGAGTGACACTGTCACGGAAGCTCCCGTGCCACAGCCTGCTGGAGAGGCATAACAACTAGCCTCCTGCCCACAGACTATGGGCCTGGTCACAGACTTTAAAATGATATATAGGATATGGGGGTACATTGTTTACATTTATTATGTAAAATGTTGAGCTGAATGAAAGCTATTGTGTTAATTGTATTATGTAAAAGCTATTGTGCTATGTGTCTTGGTGTCCAGCAGGAAATTAAGTTATCATGTCTTGACCCAATTATGTCCCAGATTTCCAGGATCTGCATAAGAAGCCGAGTGTGGCCAAATAAAGTTCAGATTGCTGCTTTTACCCAATACGACTGGTTGAGTCCACTATATTGGGGAATTTTACAAAGTTCCAGAGGGCTAGAATCACTGTATGCTGTAGCTGAATCCAGGAGTAGCGGAGGGTTAGAGAAGCTGTGACCCAGGGACAGTAAGAGACCCTGGAACAGTCACATTGAGTGTTTATGTTCACAAGTTTGTTCTGGGGTATTGATGTAATTATAAAACCTCAGTCAGCTGTCACCTGGCTGGAGCAGTAGGAGTTAAAGGTGTGTCGGTACTTCTTAAGGGGAACCTTGCCAAAAATGCATTATAATATATATGTAATAGTTTGCAGTTTATTTTGTAAACCAGAAATGATGTGCATTAGCAGCACAGGCTAGGGAGTTTACATAGCACCCATAGGGCACTGGCTGTGGGACTGCTTTTCCTTGCCAATCAATTCTTCAGCATAGAGTATTTGCTAGCACAAGGTAAAGATAGAGTTAAATGCTCCTTAAAAAGAGCATATGGTATGGCTTTGGGTTCTATCAGACAAATTAGTACATCAAACATGTTGAAAAGTATGTTTAAACTCACCAACAGGATTGTTAACTACAGTGAAAAGTATCAAGAATTCAAAGTTTATTCAAAACTAATATAAAATGTAAGGTCATAGTAGCAGAACTGGGTGCATAGCTGACTGGAATAATATTT